AGAGAATGTGTAGTATCTTGAATACACTAAAAAGTGTTTTTGCAATTCTTGAAAAACTTTAAAAAGGTTAACACATGATTCTTGTTTAGCATTTTTTTTTCTTGCTTAACATGTTTATGCAAAATTTACAATGGAATTTTAAACTAAAATATATTAGACTTGTTAATTCCAAAAGGACTAGTTAGATTAACTTATTTCTTCCTAACAACATCTTCTGCACCCTATCCACTGAAAATGTCTTCAGAGGTCAACATTGAGCTTTTAATTGACTTGCTCTCAGTCTTTTTTTTTTTGGAGACAGAGTCTCACTTTGTTGCCCCAGTGGAGTGCTCTGACATTGTAGCTCACAGCAACCTCAAACTCTTAGGCTCAAGTGATTCTCTTGCCTCAGCCTCCCATTAAATAGCTGGGACTATACGTGCCAGGACTAGCTAATTAGACCGACTGGTACATATATATAATGGAGTATCAGGCAAAGAAACAAGGACTGCTTCTGTACTCTAATAAACCGTTGGTCTCCAGGGTGTACTGTTAAGTGAAAGAAGCAACAGGGGAGGAAATGAACATATGATGCCACTATGTACTTCTTACATTTCAAAATTTGTATTTAAAAAATGAAGTAGAAACCATAAAAAATTTTTTAAAAGTTTACCCTTGAGGTAAGGAGAGATGGTGTGGTAGTAATGGGACTAGTACATTTCTTTGAATATATCTAGTATTCAACTGTGGAACTGCACAGTTCATATAACTATAAAAAAATAAATTTTAGAAAAAATTCAATGCCTAAACATTGATTAAAAAAACTGAACCAAAATTTATATCCAGTAGGTGTTATAATCACACTAAGAACAACCATTCCAAGTGTGAAAAAGAATAATTTTACTATGCATCCCCACTAGGCTATACCCTGGTGTAAGAAATGTATACACAAAAGAAAATGCACATTTTTAGCTATTAAATAATATATATACACATTTTTAGTAGAGGCAGAGTCTCACTTTATTGCCCTCGGTAGAGTGCTGTGTCCTCATACACCTCACAGCAACCTCCAACTCGAGGGCTTAGGAGATTCTCTCTTTTTTTTCTTTTTTCTTTGCAGTTTTGGTGGGGGCCAGGCTTGAACCTGCCACCCCCAGTATATGGGGCCAGGGCCCTACTCCTTGAGCCACAGGCGCCACCCTAGGTGATTCTCTTTAGGTAGAGTCTTGCATAGGAAGAATACCTTTTCCTCTGAGACTGCAAACTTTCATGCTATCATACTCAGGATGATTTCACCTGCTACTATGATAAGAACTGTCACTTTTCTCCCTGTCAAAACATCTACAAACTTACTGCATTTTAAATCATGGATCTCTTCCTCATTTCCAAATATCTAAACACAGGGTTCTAACTGTGTTCCTACTCCTATATTTCCAACTTCTTTAACGGATAGTTCTTTCTTCTCTGACCCCTTCTTCCTTCTCCCTGGGTAGAACGTGAATAACATGGAGTTCAACATCCATCTTGTACATGATATGACACTGGTAACAGAAGCAGGAGATGGTGGACCAGGAGGACAGGAGACTGAATTTGCAGTACCTTGGGGTGTCAGCAGCCCTGCACTGACTATCTCCAATGTCTTCATCTGCAAAAGAAATAAAACCTATCTTGCTTAAGCCAAGCTTAC